GAGAAGCCAGCGGCCGCGGGGTCCGGCAGCGCTCGCCACCCGTGAGGGCCGCGCCTCCTCTTTCTTCCCCCCCTCACCCCGCCCCGCTCCCGCCTCGCCTCCCTCGCCCGGCGGTCCTTGTCCCGTCCCTGAGGGGAGTATGAAGCTGGGCAGTGGCTTTCTGGGGGGCGGCGGCGGCTCCTCTTCTTCTAAGAGGCAAGCAATGGACCCCACCTTCCCCCCCAGCATGGTCATGTTCAACCACCGCCTGCCGCCAGTCACCAGCTTCACCCAGCCGGCCGCACCCCCCCAGCATTGTGGGCCGACGCCGGCCTCCTCGGCCACCTCCTCCTCGTCGTCATCTTCCTCCTCCTCTTCGTCGTCGTCTTCCTCTTCTTCCTCCTCCACCGCCACGAGTGCAACGGCCACTGCCGAGCCCCCTGGCCCACCTCCTCCTCCTCACCCTCAGGGCATGACTTTTAAGAAAGAGCCGGCAGGGGGTTTCCCTCTGACTGTGCCCTCCTCTGCCTCCTCATCCCAGAGGAGCCCCTGGGGCTTCTTCCACTCACTAATGAACATCAAGCAAGAGAAGCCCAGTGACCAAGAGGAAGAGGACCAACAGCACCATCACCACCACCATCACCATTATGGGGGCCTCTTCGGGATAGCTGGGGAGGAGAGACACCCCACTCTTGGTGGCAGCGGAGGAGGAGGAGGAGGAGTGGAAGGAGCTAACCCCAGCGTGATCCAAGACCTCAACTTTCTCCAACACTTGCACCACTATCCCCACAGAGGAGACTTGCTGCTGGGCCTCAGAAGTGGCGGTGAAGCGGGTCCTCCTGGCTCCGATGAGCCTAAGCATGATGCCCAGGCCCGGAAGATGAAGAGGCCAAAGTCGGAATCTCAGGGAATCAAAGCCAAGCGGAAGCCAAGCAATTCCTCCAGGCCCCTTGTGGCTGGAGATGGAGAAGCTGCCATGCTGTCCGCTAGCCAGAAACCTCATGTTTGTGAACACTGCAACGCTGCCTTCAGGAGCTCCTATCATCTGCGTAGGCATGTGCTCATCCATACCGGAGAGAGGCCTTACCAGTGTGGCCAGTGCAACATGGGGTTCATTCAGAAGTATTTGTTACAGAGACATGAAAAGATCCACAGCAGAGAGAAGCCGTTTGGGTGTGACCAGTGCAGCATGAAATTCATCCAGAAGTATCACATGGAGAGACACAAGAGGACACACAGCGGAGAAAAGCCATACAAATGTGAAACCTGTCAGCAGTATTTTTCAAGGACTGATAGACTGTTGAAGCACAGACGTACATGTGGAGAAGCCATAGGGAAAGCAGGTGCTGGAATGGATCCTGGGCCATCAAACCATAGCATGGGAAACCTGTCTATGTTGTCTCAGGGAAATACAGGTTCTTCAAGGAGAAAAAGCAAAGCAAAATCTATATCCTCTGAAAACAAAGAACACAAGCCTAGTCAAAAAGTATCTGAATCTCAAATTGCATCTAATATGACCTTGCAGAATTATGCAGTGGACTTTCCTATAGTGTCTTCCAGTGGTGGTTTGATTGGCACTGGGATAGAAGATCTGCAGAAAAAGGTGCCAAAATTAGTCTTTAAGAAAGGAAACAGGAAGGGTGCAGACAAAAATTTTCTGAACTTTGTGTCACCATTACCAGACCTTCTTGGTCAAAAACAATTGCCTGGGAAACCGGGTGGCTCTCTTGGCTTAGTCACAAATACTGGTGTAGATGCTATTGGTCTTCTCCAAGCTGCAAGTGGTAAACCAGGTCAATTAAGTAGCAATTATGATGATGCCATGCAATTTTCAAAGAAAAGAAGATATTTGCAAACTGCCAGTAGTAACAGTGCCTTTTCTATAAATGTTGGGCATATGGCCTCCCAACCGTCTGTTATTCAGTCTGCAGGTGTAAGTGTTCTGGATAGTGAAACCCCGTTATCTCTTATTGATTCGCCATCTCTAAGTTCTGACATCAAATCTTGTCATGACAAATCTGGCATTCCTGATGAAGTGTTACAAAGTCTTCTAGAGCAGTACTCTCACAAATCTGAAGGCCAGAAAGAAGATCCTTTCAGTATCCCTGAACAGCGTGTGGACTTGCATGCTTCAGGAGAACATACAGAGATGGGGCAAGAGGAGAATCTGAGCCCCAGCTCCCAAACAACTTCAAATGACAAAACAAGCATGCTGCAAGAATACTCAAAATACCTCCAGCATGCTTTCGAAAGAACAACCAATAGCACTGGTTTTGCTTTTGGACCTAGTTTCCAATTTGTAAGCCTTCATAACCATACTTTGTTTCAGGACAAACAAATATATACCACATCTCCACTTGAGTGTGGTTTCAGCCAATCTGTTACCTCAGTGTTGCCACCTACATTGTCAAAGCCTCCTTTTGGTATGTTGCTTGGATCTCAGCCAGGTTTTTATTTATCTGCTTTGGAGGCAACCCATCAACAGTTGACTCCTTCACAGGAGCTAGATGATCTGATAGACTCTCAAAAAAACATAGATGCTTCATCAAACTATCAGTCTACACCTCAAAAGCTGAGTAGCCAGAAGGAACAAAAATCCCTAGAATCTTCAACAAGCTTTCCAGTTCCATCTCAGGAGCTGGCTAACCAGATAGATCCTCAGAAGGACCTAGATCATCGAGCAACGTATCAGATAGAAACCTTTGCACAAGCATTTGGTTCTCAGTTTAAGACGGGCAGCAGGGTGCCAATGACTTTTATTGCTAACTCTAATGGGGAAGTGGACCATAGAGTAAGGACTTCAGTATCAGATTTCTCAGGGTATTCAAATGTAATGTCTGATGTAAGTGAGCCATGTAGTACAAGAGTAAAGACCCCAACCAGCCAAAGTTATAGGTAAAGTTCCAAGTGATGACTAGGCTTTGGGCTGGTCTTAATGTATTAGTTTTATTTTGATAACACTGCCATTGGAATGTTTCTACAGGATCCTAATACAAATAATGTAACATGCCCTTTCAATGCAACTTTTCATATTTAGTTTTTGTTAACCTAATTTTAGATTGGTTTGTGTTACGATTTTTAATTGGTTGGCCAGATTGGTTGACTTGACAGTTTGCATTTCTGTTTACATGACAGTGTTTAGCAATCAAACTTACATATTTAGATTGTCAGGGAGTAGCCCAAAAGTTGCAAATGCAAAAAAAGAAAAAGAAAAAAAAAGAGAGAGAAAATGAAACAAACAAAAAAACCCCTTTGTTCCTAGGATTAAGGTTTATTTTACTTGCTTTACTCTCAGGAAATGAAATGAAGCAAGGAGATTCTGAACGTTACTGGTGTACAGTATTGGGATTTCCAATTTATAAACAAGTGGCAATACTACTTTGCCATTTAACAGAGGGATCTAAGACGTTACAAATAGCTATCTCACATCTGAGTTATATAACATTTTGAGAATTTAGCTACCTACAGCCTGTTTATAGTTGGTAAAGTAATTCCTTATTTCTTTTCCCAGATGATGATACTCATTCCAGATTGGTGGGGTAAATATTCTCAGATCCTTGGTGTAAGCCTGGAAAGATAGCTTTAATAAAATACAATAATATCCACCCTCACCCTTGAAGATAAACTATGAATTCTGTAAAGAAATTTTAGTGGCAGAATCCATGAAAGGAATTTTAAAGTTACAATTTGATGTCATTGGAACCCCAAACTTAAAATTACAATAATAATTTATATACATATTGGGATGTGTTATTTATTAAATATGTGGTTTTTTTAATAACCCCAATTGGCATCCAACACTTCTCTTTCCCTTTACATAGCTTTGTTTAGTGTTTAAATGTCCTCTTCCTTCATCAAATGTTTTTTATACCAAGCTCACTCTCCATGGTTTGTGATCCTTTCTTCTTCCCTTTAGCTTAACAGCTGGAATTTTAGAAGATTTACATTCCAGAAGATTGGATGACGTATTATGTATTTCTTGATGTCTTGTGACATCAGAAGTTGACAATTTGAAAAGCTGTATGCCCTTTTATTTTAGAAGGCCATATGAGATCCAACAAAATGATCACTCAGTTGTACATAGAAAGGCCCTCCATTGTGCAGTGGGTTCTACTAGTTTAGTCATCAGCAGTTTTGAATATTTCGTGGGGGTTTGGTGGCTATAATTACACATGATTACAAGGGTGTAAGAAGGACACTTTGCAGAGTTGGGTCTTAAGACCTCATTTCTATTCAGAGGTTGGCCTAAATGTGTGAACCATGTGACCAATAATTATTTGGTTTATTGTAGCCAGAGTTTCCAAGGAATTGTTGCTCAAATTCATGTATATTTTGTGGTACATTATTTATGATACGTGAATCTTGATTAGAGCCTGTGGAGCCACAGAGACCTGCTAGATAACATAGTGTCTATTTTAAAACTGCTAAAAAGCAGTTGCACTACCCAGAACCACTTTTATTGTTTTTGCAGATATATTTTTTTCTAATTAGTTTTTAAAATGTAATTTTGGTGACGCTTACTGCAGATTTTTAAAATGTACTTTTGGTGATGTTTCTGTCTTACGTACTTTCTGAAGGCAGAAAGTACCAGTGGTTGTTTGCAGTCTTATTGTGTAATTGGCCTATTGCAGGCATCCATGTATAATAAAGTAATTAACACTGTACAAGTGTAAAACACTTCTGTTATGAAGATGGTGTTGTACAAACTATGAAATTCTTAAATTGTCAAACGTTGAGGATACCTGTTTCTTCTCTCCACCCGGCCCATCAAATCAACACAAACATTTTCACCAAAAGACCCGCCACCTTATTGCTTATGCATAACTATTAAATTCCAGTTAAGTATGTATACTTGATTATGTATTTCCCATATTTCAGATTAGTGCTGTTAATTTCTCCTGCCATTTAGGCATAGAGCACAACCTGTTGATGAGGGATGGACTGTACCTTAACCACTGTGTAGTTCTACTATGGTTTCTTTTTTAAAATTTTGGGGGCATTTCGTTTCACAGTGTTTTATGATTTACTTTTTTTATATTGTGTGTACTGGATAGTGTGTGTGTTCTGGGATTATTTGCTTTAGACTGTGACCAATTAAAATTCTATTCTCAAAAATCTAAGGAAAGAAACCTCTGTTGTATGATCTATACAGTTCTGCCTCTGGCTTTGTCAAGAAAATTCCATTAAATGTTTTAAATGAAATTGCTGGAACAATAGAAAAAGAATAACTTGCTTGCTTTTAAAGGTATTTTTATTGTAAAACTTCTTCAGATGAACAATAAAAACACTCTTTTTCGTTAGATTTCTCTCCTTGAGATTTTAGTTGGAATGTTTATATTTAAATGTGATATTTTGAATTAATTGTTAATAGTTCTAATGTTTTTATTTCTTTTTACACTAATGGCAGAATTTGACACATTTATTTGCCTAGAGTCCCAGTGATTTTTTTTTCTGGTAAGTAGTGTGATGCTAGAGGAGACTCTTGAGAGACCCCTGGGCTGCAAGGAGATAAAATTTATCAATTCTGAAGGAAATCAACCCTGAGTGCTCACTGGAAGGACAGATCCTGAAGCTGAGGCTTCAGTACTTTGGCCATCTCATGAGAAGAGAAGACTCCCTGGAAAAGACCCTGTTGTTGGGAAAGTATGAAGGCAAAGGGAGAAGGGGACGACAGAGGACGAGATGGCTGGACAGTGTCATCGAAGCTACCAACATGAATTTGACCCAACTCCAGGAGGCAGTGGAAGACAGGAGGGCCTGGCGTGCTCTGGTCCATGGGGTCACGAAGAGTCGGACACAAAGACTAAACAACAACAACGTGTTGACTGTCTTGATTACTGTTATATGTTTTGGTTCCCAGCAGTCACAAGGACTCGTTGAAGTGGTAGAAATCACATCAGATAAATTACAGTACTGCGTTTTTCCTGTCTAACCATTGACATTGAATGTTCAGAAACAGGCTTCATGTGAGTTTTGCAGCTGGATAGAGAGCTACAGAGAAGCTACATAAGGCTACATTTGCCTTCCTTCCCAGATGCACCAAACAGGATTTAGCTCACAGAAGGTTCCATTCATGCAACTTTCATTTTGTACATATTTCCATGGGACTGAGATCCCTGAAACCTAGGAGCTAACAAATTCTGAGACTACATGAGGAAGAGATCCTTTTGTTCCTTGAATAATGGAGATGGAGAATAGAATTTCAGAAATAAGTATGTGATATATATGACATACGGAAGCCTTTTGCAGGCCACCTAGATAGTTTCAATTGGCAAATAATGGCTGAAATCTTGTTTCTTTGTGTAGTAAATTGCAGTAGTTTTGGTCAGTAAATGCCCCTATAAGTTCCATGATCCAAATGGGCCTACTGTAGTTGTGACATACTAACATATATGGCCCCACCAATAATGGATAATGACGATAAAAAATCAAGGATTAATAAGAGATGATATAAATCCTACAAATTAGGAGGGGACTGCCTAATTTAAGCTTATATTAGCTAATCAAGACACACACTTGCTATTATATCTCAGTTCAATAAACTAGTATGTTTGAATATGGAAACAAGATTTTTTTCTGAACCCTGAGAATATTCTTTTTATGCAATATAATAAGAGCATAGTGAAAATCTCTTCTTTAAAATTGTGCTTTTAATTTGAAATAGGTATTGGAAAAATATTATCACTTATCCAGTGATAGTGTTAGAAACATTCCTAGGTAACTTGAAGGACTGAAAATTTATTAATGAAGATACAAGTTATTGGTAGAGAAATGGGGAATAAAGAGCAAACTTGAAATTTGAAGAAATTGTATTACAATAAGGAAGTGCAGATAAAAATAAGCTAATGAAAGAGTAAGAAAAAATTACAAGATAATATTGGAAGCAGAACATTAAGAGGATATGCTCAAAACGTTATGGGAACATTACATGGGAGAAGAAACAAGTACTGGGGTTTGGAAAATATGGGATTTAAGAATATGGAAATCTATGTCTTTGAGGATAAAGTAATTTTTTATAAGCCAATTTGGAAATTGCATTTAATTCAGGTGAAATTAAAGAGATATTGTTCCAAGTTGTGCTGGAGAGATCAAAAAGTGGATACCTATTTTCATACGTGGTTGGAATGTGAGATACTAAAAGTCTGGCAATTCATCCTTAAATAAATGAAATACATGTAGGCATATGCCCTAAATAGTGCTTTTATCAATATTCAATAGGAAGCAATGTAATTAGACAACTAAGGAATTAATTTCCAATTTATTAACAGGGCAGGATTAATTGTAGCTAGGATCTGGAAAACAGTGTATAATTTTCAATTAAATAGATGGTATAGAGAGGTTTGGAATATGGCTATTAATGACAATCTAATATGCAGTATTATAGTTAAGGGATTGATAAGTAAGAACATCTAGATATATGAGGTGACATCATTGATTATGTATTAATAAAGGAGAAGAGACATTTTCAGAAGAGAACGTAATTTCGGAAGGGAGAAGGGGCTCCATAGGAAGGGGGAAATTGTGGTAACTCCCAAGTGATCCCAATGGGCAGGGGAGCATGATTTGTATAAATGTTTGTTATGTGTTATTAGATGTGTTTATGTATGTTTGATTTATTTTAAAGAATGCAACACAATATAAGGTGACAGAATTTTTTTAAAAACCCCAATTATATAAATAAAGCAGATAGTCAGAAAATAACAGCTGGCACAGTTTTAAAGGTAAGCACTGAGTCTGGCTTTGCATCAGATCCTGATATGTTTTAGTGCATACAAAGGAGGTGAAATATTTCTGTTGAAATGATGTATAATATATTCTTAGGACAGGTATGAGAAAAGAATGGGTACAAAAACATGATAGTGAAGCAGATTCAAATAGTACTGTACTTTAAAGAATGCTACTATGACATGCAAAAGTTCTCCAAAATCTAGAGCTGATTGGAATTGTTCTCTATACAGTATATGGAATTGTAGGTAAAAATGTTTGTTCTAGTCTCCTGAAAATGTTACTAGTATCTTTAAATATGTAACAAGAAAGGGAGTAACCTTTAGCCTTTTAAGACTAGCATATTTATTTTAGCATAAGCATGTTAAGGGTTACAGTCTGCTTCCTCAGATTGTAATCCACAAAAAGTCATGCTTTTGGATACTTCTGTTAGTTTTAAAGGTTCCACAAGGCTGTTCCCCCCTCCCCCCTTATGTTGTGACAGACTCACATGGCCACTTTTTAAAAACCAAATAATGCAGTCATTGCGTAAAATCCTGTTGTATAACTTTGTGCCGGTTTGCTAGGACTCCCTTTTGCTCCGGAGTAGCCTTTGGGAACCTTGGGATGGTGTAGGGAGCCTTGAACAATAAAAAAGGACCACTGGATTGTTGTTGCAAGGATTGGGACCACCACTGGCAATCAGGCAACAATTTTCCAAAGTTAAAGGCTGACCGTGCCTTTCCTTCCCAAGGTTTCCCCAGGGCAAAAGGGAGCCCTTGTGTGCCTTGGAACGTAAAAAGAGAGAAGCTTTATAAATTTAATCCTTCTGGTGTCAGATCTTGGTTACATGGTACAAAGTTATACAAATAGGGTTTTGCCCAATGTATTTTCCACATTCACTGAATCAGAATTTTTCTGTAGCTGTTTTAGTTGTTTTTGAAGCTGAAGCAAGAAAGAAAAGTGACATTTGTAGGAGAAGATCAACAGTTCTTTTTAGAAGACTTTCCCAATATCTGTTTTAATTCTGACACAATCAGAGTATAGTCCAGCTATGACTCATCTGTCCAGAACAGGTGGAACTTGTAATTGTACTCTCTAATAACCTTGCTGTGCTGCATTATACTCCAACCATTAAAACACAAGAAGTGAGGATAGAATTGCTTTAAACATGAGTAACACAAGACAATGTTATAAATTGGAATGAAACTGAATTACATCTAGTGTGCTGAAGACTGCGCTATCAAAGGTTAACAACTTCTGTTTTTACTGGTTAATACACAGTGTGGATGGTTGAAAAGTTGTGCTATACAAACTATCAAAATGGAAAACGACAAGCTTGTCTTGACCCAAAATACTCTTATCCACCATCTTATTCAAATTGAAACATCTTTTGGTTTTTTGCATTCCCCCTGCTAACATCTGGTGTCTGTCTTTGCCAAGGTGACTATAGGTGACAATATTGTAAATGAATATTTTGAACATTGTAAACAGCATGTCCTGTGTTTCCAAAACCAACTTGTCCGTATGTCAGGGTCAGCGTACAATTGTTGAAGTAAGATTCAGCAATCAGTCCAGCTTACTTCTGTATATGAAATATGGTGCTATTTGGTCCTTTGCCTTAGGCAACAAAATGTCTTCGGCTAGCCCAACTTTGATATGGATAGAACCCATAGGAGATGGATCTAAAATTGAGATATATTTCTGGTTAAGCCAGTCATCATCCTTGTATTCCTTTTTAGGAGCAATTCTCTGTAATCCCTGGAGGAGTTGAGAAAAGATGCACAGTTGCTTTAACTTTTC